TACATACAGGCATGAAGTAAGTGAATGGAGATACATATAATAAAAAGTTTTGTTAAAATAAATTTGGAGTGACTATATTAATAGCAGACAAAGATTTTAGAATAAGGAATACTACAAGTGATAAACTGAGACAGTTCATTATAATAAAGCAGTCAGTTCAGTAAGAAAGCCAACCTGAATTTTTATGTACTAAATAATAATTTCAAAATACATAAAGCAACAGCTTACAGAACTGAAAAGTGAAATAGGTAAAATCTGTAACTGCAGCTGGGCTTCAACACTCCCCACTGTGGACATGGCCCATACATTTTCAAATAACCTTTATGTCAAAGAGGATATTGCAAAATAAATTAGAAAGTTTTTTGAAATAAATGAATATGAATAACACGACATTGCAAAATGTGTGACCTTAGATGTCCACCACTGGTCACAGTGTAATCATGAGGTCTGTATTTGCAACTAAAATACCAGAAAAATATATGAAATAGTGTTTAGATGTGATGCAATAGAGCATGACAGCAGTTCCTGAGCAAAGTGACATAAAGAAAGTGAGTCCACAATTTTCTCACTTTATCTACTAGAGAAAGTTTTCAAGTCACAGCACTGGGAAGGGAAACCCAAACAGAGGCTGCTTATCTCCCTGAGTTGATAAAACAGAGCTGAGGATTTGGGAAAGCCAGGGCAACCAGAATTTTGAGGGTAGAGGTATTTGGAGGTGTGGGGAGGGTCCTTGGGAGCAATCACATAATCTGAACACTCATGTCCATTGTGAAACTAGTTTAGAAATTTTATTTACTTTAGATGTAGCATTGAAAGAAATGAATATTGGTTTACAATGCTGTATATGATTACCACACCACACCCGGCACCAAAGCACTCATGATTCTCCACCGTAGACCTCTGGGTTCCTCCCCCTGTTTATTTCTCAACCACTATTCTCCTCCTCTAATAGCCTCAATTCTGCAGCTGTATTTCTAGGGTTTTTTTTTTTTGGTTTAGCTTTTTAAAAATTTTTTATATATTTCTTACATCATTTTTCATTTTTGCATGATGTATGCATTTTCATCTTGGTTCTATTCCCCATAAAATTGCACCCCCCCTTATTTTGACCCCAATCCCTCCTCTCCCACCCCCACCCCCATAGTGTGTGGTTTATAGCTGCTTGTTGATTTTGATTTTTTCTTTATTATAGTTATTCTTTTCCCTGGTCCCTTATTTAGGTTCTCTAAACTGCGATGAGTGAGACCATCCAGTATTTTATCTGCTCTTTTGTTTCTTTATAGTCCACATATGAGTGAAATCATATGGTATGTCTTTCTCCTTTGGACTTAGCATAATTCTAACATGTTGTTGTAAATGGCAAGATTTCACAGAGATGAATTTTAAAGATGGACAAAACTCCCAATGAATTTAGTTGAAAATTTCGGGTTGAAAACAAGCCCTACAGCCTTCTATATGTTAGTTATTTGAAGGGGGGGTGTGGGGGAAAGGGAGGTGCTGACTAGTCTTTACCTGGTTTTTCAAATCAGCTAAAGGCTATTATTTTCCCATGAAGAAGGCATTCCTCTTCCAGGTTTACAGGTGCTAGAAATAATATGATCCTCCCCATCCCCACTTGGCTACTAGCAGAATTATTAGCGGAGCCTAATGTGTCTGAAACGTCATCACACTTTGTCAGCATTTCTAGTGCACTCACTTTTCCATTCTAAAAGCCATAGAAATATGTTAGGTAAAAGTACATTTGTTCTGTTCTATACCAGTTTAATGGATTCATTATTTTCCTTTAGCTTATGAGAACTGTAGGATGAACCTAGATGCCTGGTGATCTCTTAAGGCAAGTCATCACGGTTTTAATTTATGAAGCTCTTGGATACCCAAGTGCAGGAGAAAGGATTTGAACCTCTAAATCACTCAATAAACTAACAGTGACTCATAAAGCTAAATGTAAGAGCTAAAACTATGAAACCTGTAGAAACTAACACAGGAATAAATCTTTGTGATGTTGGATTAGGCTATGATTTCTCAGATATGACACCAAAAGCACAAGGAATAAAGAGAACATTGGCAAGTAGGACTTTATCAAAATTAAAAATTTTTGTACTTCAAGGAATACCACTAAGAAAGTAAAAAGACAACACAGAGACTGGGGGAAAATATTTGCAAACCATATATCTGATAAAGGGTTATATCCAGAATATATAGAGAACTCTTACAATTCAATAATAAAAGAACAAATAATGCAATTAAAAATGGACAAAGCACTAGATTGGCCCTTTCTCCAAAGAAGATGTACAAATGTGAACAAGCATATAGAGATGCTCAACTTCTTAATCATCAGGGAAATGCAAATCAAAACCACGAAATACCATTTCATACCTACCAGCACAGCTATAATAAAAAAGACAAACAGTAACAAGGGCTGATAAGCATGCAAAGAAATCAGAATCCTATTATGTTACTGGTGGGAATATAAAATGGTGTCACATATTTGAAAAATAGTTTGGCAACTCCTGAAACAGAAGGCTACCCATAACCCAGCATTTCGACTGTTTGGTATCTACTCATTTTAAGTTGGATTAAAGCATCAAGTGATCTGAAATCACAGTTCAATATCTTTCGATCAGAGTTACTTTGTGTGATTAATCCTTGTCACAGGGTAGATAGCAGAGTGAAGAAGCTGATTCAGAGCCAGGCCTGCAGAGGGAAGAGACTGAGCGGCGCTTGGAGTGCCCTCTAGTGGGAACTGCCTAGCTGTGCAGACGGGACAGTGGACGACTGGGGGTTAGGGTCTCTCAAGGAGAGAGATTTAGTTAAACATAAGCAAGACGATGAACCTGACTGTGAGTTCCTCATCACTAAACTCTTCAAGAAGAGTCTGGAAGATGATTTATTGTGAAAAGTCCAGAAGAATGGGAGCTCTGGCTTGGACTAGTGTTCCCTAAGGCCCCTTGCAAGTTCGTGACTCCAAGGCATTGAACACAATATTGAGTTGACAAGTTTTCCTGGCTTGCAGTTTCAGGTGGTTTATGGGAATCAATCCAGCCTGACAGAGGCTCTTCCAAAGCATCAATAATTCACTTGCACTGAGTGCTGATACTGGCCCCATAACGCCTGGATATAAGTGGATGGAAAAACTCAGGACTGAAGAGGTTTAGTTCATTTCAAGGGAAAACTAGCTCCTGAGTACCATATAAATTTAGGACAGCAGCTACAGCACTGTTTATGCCAGTGGTGATGTTCCAGTAACACTTGCATCACTTACTTGCCTTCCAGGGAGCTGGGAAAGGAAAAAGAGAAACGGTGACCGATGAGAAGACTCTAGAAGGAAGATAGATCAGTGACTTGATTATGCAAATCACTTTTAGACACTTGTTTTGTTTCATTCATTTTTAGGACAAAAAAGAACATTTCAAATGTGATAATATTCATTTAATGTTTGAAAAAGTCTACAGAAAAGTAACATGTATATGAATAAACATAAGCTGTAAAAGTATGAAAACACAGGATGGGGACAAACCAATTTCAGAATAATTACTGCCTCTGGGAATGGAAGGAGGAAAATGAGATTAGGAAGAGTTGTTTTAGGGGTTTTAACTGTATTATTAATATTTATTTTTTAAAAAACAAACGATTGGGAGTAAAAATGGCAATGGTCAGAATTTGTTCAAGCTGTGGGTGGGCACATAGAAATAGCTTGTTATTATTCTCTGTAGTTTTTTCTACATTCAACAAAATAGTTTACTATAAAAAAGTAAGGGAGAAAACGACATTGTGTGAGACAGTTTTTGGAAGATTAAATTTCAAAGATTTGGTGAAGATATTGCAATGTAGTAAAAGTACAGGACAGGGTTCTATCCACACGTGTGAACTAGAAATACAGTCTTAGGTGGTGGTGAGTGCTCAAGCCTTGCAGAAAGACTACCTGGATTCATGTCCTAACCGGGCAGCTTTTCAGGTGTTTAACCTTGAGAATGTAACTCAAGGTCAAGTGTTAGTTTTTATATCTGTGCAGTAAGGATCACAATATTTGCCTTGCAGGGTTGTTAAGAAGATCGAAGTGATATACAGGTCTAGTGTCTGGCATAGTCAGTGCCCCATAAACTACAGGTTTGTGTATATTAGTACATATTTTCATGCCCTTCCTTTATATCTCAGTTCTACCATAGCTCCCCTCACCTTTTCCCCCTTACTTGAAAGCCAAGCAAAGAGGAACTCTGCTCAAATAGGAATGAAGTCATAAACGCAAGTGATTTGTGCTCCCAAGAAGAGTAAAGGGCACCAATGCAATTTACATATTTTGGCAAAATGGAATTTAATCAAAGCTTTATTGTAGAGCAGGATTAACTCTTGCCCAACTGATTTCACAGACTAGGTATGAAAACTAATTCTGTGATAAGTAGGAAAGTTGTCTGTGAATTCTAACAGAGTCTTGTCTCTTTTGCAGTTAGTTTTTGTCACTAATCCTCATTTTGTGACTAATGCTCATTCTGAGGTAGAAAACACACACCACCGGGGTCTCTGAGGCCAAGAGCTGGAGCTGCAGAGATAGTGGATGTTTATGATCAGGATAACCTTAAACCAGTTCCCAATGAATTGACGGCGAGCTGTCAATTGAAGGTGAGAATGCCGTTGTCTGAAGTGTTCCCCACAAATAAGCAAAGACAAGGAGGGGGGACCTCAGGTACACTGTGTCTGTTGGCTTGGCGCTCCATGGACAGATGCAGTGGCCAGAGTTCCTTCCTTTGTCAGAAACAACTTGAGGCGCTAAGGTGCCACGTGTTGTATTTTTTTGTTTGCCCATTTGGCTGCTTTTGATCCCCCTCACCTTTTTGTTTTTATTAATTGTAGGAGTAGCTTAAGGACGTTCAGTACGTCTACTTTTCCAGCAGGTGGCAATATGGTGTTTTTAAAAGCTTTGTCCAGCTTTAAGTGATTTTAGATGTTTGTCCTTTCCAGGCTTACGTGATTTTGAAGCTGCTGAGTCAGAGGGGTGGGGAAGGGGCCTGGAGAGGTCCAGAGGTTGGTGGGAACCAGACTAGGGGGCTGGCTTGTGGCTGTAACACTGTCAATTCCTGCCTCTCCGAGTCTGCAGAGTGCGCTCTACAAGGTCAGTGCCAGTCCCCGAGGGGAAATGCACCCCCATGCACTGTCCCTGTTCCCTTCACTGGGGACCCAGCCGCTGGTGGTACCCCAGTTCCTCTGCTCTTATCTCCCCACAGTTAATGATGTGCACGTCCTCACTGCTGAGTTCTCCCCTCCCCAAAGCCGCCATACCGGCAGCAGTGCTGGAGTTTACAAGGCAGCCTTTCCTGGGAGCACAACCTCCTGGTGTTTCTCTCCACCCACCTCCTGCTTACTGGAGTATGGGTTTGTTTAGTGTCCCTTCTGGTGCAGCCCATGCTGGTCTCCACTGCCCAAGAGGTGTTCCAGTTTCACCCAAACTATAGAATCCTCTAGGTGCGGCTCTGGTGTGAATTATATTTCAGGTTATTTTCTCTGGAGCAAAGCAAGACACCTCCGCTGATACCACCCTTGGCTGAATCTCCTTCCTCTGTCATTGGGGGGGAAGGATCCTGCTGGTTTGGTCTCCACCCTCCCCCCACTCTCTCTCCTACTCTGACACTTCTAGCTCTGATCATGTGGAATCATAAGCCTAGAACAAAATGGAAACTGTTCTGTTGTGAATTCACTCCTTACTGTTTGCTATTCAGAGCCTCTAACGTTCTTCTTGGTGGACAATTGGGGCATATGAAAGTTCTTGCCATCTAGAGATGGCAAGTTGAGGCAGTGGAGTCAAGCATACTGTGGATGGATTCAAATTGGATTCAAATTCTACCTCTCATGGCTGACTCTCTACACTGTACCCCACTGTCCTGCCTCAATAAGAGGGTGTCCCCACTGTGAGAGTGAGACACTTCCTCCTGCCTGCACAGGGCCTGATCCCCACTGACCATTATCATCAAACTTCTGTTCTTATTGGCTTTCCTCCCTGTAGGGTAAGGTAAAAAGTATCAGGCTTTTCTGCCCTCCCGCCATTAGGATAGATGAGGGAACCCTGTGGTCCTGAATGCATGCCTGATGGCGGGAACCTGAAGTAGGTACACCTGGGCTGAGCGATCGAGTTTAAAGGGTGGCGTCACAGGGACTCCAGCAGAAGCCAAGAACAAACGGAAGCAGGAGAGCAGAGAAGCAGCGAGAACATGAGAGAAGGCCGGAGAACCCAGATAGAGTGAAGACTTGCTGGGGGCTGGGAGGCCTGCCAGCCTCCCGGCCCCCCAGCACCCCTGCCTGCCATATGCCTGGTAAATCTAAATAAAAGACCTGCAAAAGCCACTGAGGACTCTGACTCCTCCTTTACCCGCGTCTGCTGGATCAGAAGACCTGCTCAGTGGTCTTCCTACCCCTACAATTGGCGTAAGTCGGCAAGATGATCCATGCAGATGGGTATGGAGCCCTCCGAAGACCTGGAGGGACTAAGGAGTAGCAGACTGAGCCTGTGACAGCACTGGAGGCATCATGGCAGCACAGAAGGTGGACAAGGTCCAGGAGCTACAGGATAAGACCTCGCCCGGAGGAGGAGACGCCTGAGAGGACTAGCCCCTGAGGCAGCAAGAATCATCCAGGAAGAGAGGACCACGATTCGGAGCTCGCCAGTGCTGATGCAGGTAGAGGCCAACGGACTTGGACTAATGGACTTGGACTGATGGACTGACAATCCCGCCAGAAGGCGGAGGAACTTTGGCAAGTTGTTTTGGAACCCTGGGGGAGGATACTTGTAGGGTAAGGTAAAAGGTATCAGGCTTTTCTGCCCTCCCGCCATCAGGATAGATGAGGGAGCCCTGTGATCCTGGGTGCATGCCTGATGGCGGGCACCTGAAGTGGGTCCACCTGCGCTAAAAGACTGATAATATAAGGGTGGTGCAGCAGAGTGCGGTGTGGTGGTAGTGCGGTGTCGAGGGTGGAGGAGTGGCGTGTACGGAGGCGTGTGGCGACTACAAACCACGGCGAAGAGCATGTGGCTGCTAGAACCGTTCATAAACCTGCTCGGAATGGGTTGGTTGCCTTACAATACTATTGTTTGTACACCCTAGGAGATGGGAATCTGGGGGCAGCCAGTGGGCCTTGATGGCCAAAAGCAGCCCGTGTATGCCCAGCAGCTAGACAGAGGAGAAGAGCCAATGAGAAGGCAAAAGCTGGTACTGATGCTAAGTTTGGAAAGCCCTGAGCGGCTGTTAAGCACTAAATATGCTGAAGACGAGTGAGTTTCTTAAAATCACCTGTGGGTGATGCCCTGCTCGTTGTCGAGTGAGGGTGAGGAGCTGAGGAACCCGTCCTTGGGGGACGGGTGGGGAACGTGGCTTGGGGTGGAGCCCAAGCCAAAGAGGGGACCCAAGAGAGGCCGCATGTAGAGTTTGGATCCCCGACCCATGTGCTTGTGCAGTGGGTTGGCCTGAGTGCAAGGGTCTGTGTGTTGCATTGGTGGCTGGGGGTTGGGAGGCCTGGGGGGCCAGGAGGCTGGCCCAATAAAAGCCTGAAAAGCCACCGCGGACTCTCTAGGACTCCTCCTTTACCCCGTCTGCTTGGTGTAGGGTAAAGAAAATGTCAGGCTTTTCTGCCCTCCCACCATCAGGAGAGATGATGGATCCTTGTCCTGAATGCATGCCTGATGGCGGGCACCTGGAGTAGGGTGTGGGCATAGGTAGATGGGATTCACCTGGGCTCAGACTGTGCTTTTAAGGGCGGCGTCACGGGGACGCCAGCAGAAGCTGAGGAGAAGCTGAAAGAGAAGTCAAGAAGCAGAGAACGAACAGAAGAGCAGAGAAGCAGAGAGAACACCAGAGAGCCCAGATAGAGTGAGGATTGGCTGGGGGCTGGGAGGACTGCCAGCCTCCTAGCCCCCAGCGTCCCTGCCTGCCATATGCCTGGTAAACCCCAATAAAAGCCTGCAAAAAGCCACTGAGGGCTCCAGGACTCCTCCTTTACCCAGTCTGCATGGGATTCTAGAAAACCTGTGCACTGGCCCTTTCCTACCTTTACACTTGGTCATAGAGAACTTGCACTGTGCCCATTCCTGCCGCTACATTGAGCAAGAAATGAGGGAGAGGGGGCGGGTGCTGAATCAGATTCCTAAGTCCCCTGGAGCCCAAACATAGAAGTGACACTCATCACCTCCCTCAGATGTTGTTGGTGGCACAGCCCACCCCAGGCGCGATGTGAGAGGGGCCAGACAAGGTGGGAGTCACTGCAGGTGGGCTCAGCAGGGCCATCTTTCAGTCTGTTGACCACACTCAGTAAAGCCACCACTGAGGATCCCTCATGGCCAAATTCGGCAAACACTCCTGTCCTCACCACGTGTTCGGATGGCATGTTTGGACGCTCCCAGGTTCCCATGTTGAAGTCCTGACCTCACACTGATGGTCGTAGGAGACATGTCTTTGGGGTGATTCGGTCATAAGAGTGGGGCTCTCAGGATGGAATGAGTGCCTTCATAAGAAGAGAGGTGACAGACGGTCTCTCTCTCCTCGCCCCCACCCCATGTGAGGACACAACCAGGGAGACATTCTCACTAGGAACTGAATTAGGCATGTTGACCTCGGACATCCTGCTCTAAAACTGTGAGAAGTGCATTTGCTTAAGCCACTGAGACTGGCATTTTGATAACAGCAGGCTAAATAAGACCCCAAGTAAGGGATTTTGTCCTGCCTAGGATTTCACTCACCTGACCTCACTTCCTTGACCCTCTCTTCTTTTTTCGTGTGTGTGATTTCCCCTTGGTTTTCCTCTTACTTCTTAGTCTCCAGTCCATCTCATTTTTGGCTCCTAAATATTTGTATGATCCTCAGGAGGCATTCCCAGACCCCTGATTTGTAACCATACGTGGTGGCCCCAAGCTGAACTCACAGTCCTCCTTTCACACCTTGTCTTCCTGTGTTCAGCATGTCAGTGACAGCTGTTCCCCACCACAGGCCCATGCGAAGTCAGGGTGATTGGCCGATTGGAGGTTGCAAGCCACAGAAATTCAGGGATATTTTGCTTATTTATTTTAAAATTTTTATTTATTTATGCATACAAAAACTGGGGTATAGGCCAGAGGTGTGTGTATGGGGGGTGTAGGGGTGGTAAGAGGATTCACCAGAGTCAGAGTGGAGAGCAGAACAGGCAGACTGACTGAAATACACGGCTGAGAGGAGCAGCGGGCGAGACAGGAGAGCTCTGCTGTGCCATGTGGGTTACCTCCCGGCTGGGGATCGAACTTGTGCTGCAGAGGCTGCAGACAGCTTCATCGTGCTGCATCTTAACCCCTTGCACTATCAGGGAGGCCTCTATTTTGCTTATTTAAATGTAATGTTTACAATAAATGAAAAGTAGCAAAACCACAAATTGCATCTATTCTTGACACCTGGAGTTAGTATGACAAAGAGTGAGAGCTAATAAAATAAAATGAAGGTGAAAATACAAGGGCAGTTGTCCCCTGTACTCTGGGCACGTGCCTTCCAGGCTGCTGAGCACTTGGTTGTGTCCTCACTTGTGAGTCCAACAAGATACCTGCCTTGTTGTGCTTTTTTTTTTTGTTTTTTTTTGTTACCTGCACAGATCTTGTAGTAACGGGGTATATCATAGATTTGTTTACCTGTTGGTACTTAAAAAAGTAGTTGCATAACTACTGGTTGCCTGTAAAATATGTACTTCTGCAATAGTATAGGAAATGTGGGCTTCTCATGGGTCCAGGCCTACCTCTGAATGAGGAAATGTCAGTTCCCCATGCATAAATGCTGGTTCCTTTTCCTATCTGTGGTGGTTGTGCACTGACCCTCCTCCTGCTGTTGCTGTTGTTAATTATGAACAGGACTCATAAACCGCCTGATAAATTTGTACTTATAAAGCCATTAAAAAGCAATTGGTGCTGTATGGCCTTGGAAAGGCCCCGCCCAAGTTCAGTAGACCAAGTATGTGTCGTGATTTCTGCTCTCTGGGTTGGATCATTTATTGGAGTAGGATGGGCTGTTGCTGATAAAGCACCGGCTTTGATAAGAGCTATATATCACTTTCTCCACCAAGGACTTACTCGCGTTGGGGTGGAGTGAAGTCCTAGGAAACTGGGCCGTTGCTCACCTTTCTGGGAGTCTGAGCTCCTTCCTGAGCTGAGCCTCCCTGAGCTTCCTGACTGAGACATTGGGTTCTGCTTGGACAGCCTCAGCCACATGTAACAGGGGGAGCAGGGGTGTGCACCTGAATCTGAACACCTGCTTCTTTACGAAAAGAAGTTGATGCTTTTGAAGCTCCCCAACAAAATGTATAATATTGTTAAGTCAGGGAAAAGTAACATGTAGGACTAGAAATAAACAAAGAAAGCATCTACAGAGTGATTGATGGCCTGCCTGATGCCTTCAGTCCCCTGATAATGCTTTGCATGTGTGAGCAGAGTTCTGCTCGCAGGCCGGACCACCAATTACCTTGTCTGCCAGCAACTTGCTGGTTGTATTTGTGATCATAATTTTCTACATATCAAGATCTCGAAGAACTTGGATTTTTTAGGGGCCTCTATTTCCTGACAAAAGTCTATGTACCGCTTCTCCCTTTTGTCTCATGAAACAGGGGTGCATTTTAAAAACAGATTTCTCTTAAAAGGTCTGCAAATATGTATCTTTTCTTTTTCATTCTACTAAGTTACAGTACGCGAATAAAAATGTGGTGTGAGCCAAACACACTCATATTTCAATAACATAGAGTTTCTTTGCAGGCACTGGGATTTAAGTATCTGACCGAATGGAATCAGCTCCATGATAATAAATTCCCCTCTCTAGACCTCTGAGTTTCTGAGAATATATTACTTGTGGCAGCAGAAGAAACTGGTCCCTCATACAGTCATTCAGGCTGGAGAGGTGGGGGAGTAAAACCTGGTCTTCTCAACGCAAGCCACAGATTTCAGTGACTACCAAGTGGTGTGTTTTTCTGCTTTAACCTGAGAGTCTTTCTTCACGTCATGAAAAGTAGAGTTTGAAAGGATCAAAGCAACTTGGCCATCTGTTTTGATATCTGTTTTATTTTGGCAGGCTCTCCTTTGACTGAATGTATACAAAGTTGACTCCTGATTCAAGAAGAAAAAAGGTAAAAATCTTAAGAAAGGGAAAGAAAGTAGATATTTGGGGAGGAAATTTGGAGATATTTGGAGAAAGGAAACATTTATTGAAAGCTGATCTTAGACAGGCATTTTGAATTTCTTGTCCCATTTAATGCCATAAAATCCTGAAGAGTAGGTATTGTGCCCATGCTATGGAAGAAATGTAGGGGATGCTGAGGACAAGGTAGGGGATGCTGAGGACTGACTGGCTAACTCCTAGATGCACATGGGTTCTGTTGCTCTGTACTACCTTGAGACAGAGCAAATGTGAGACGTTTGAAGGATAATGCCCCTTTCACTTCAGGGATTTGTTGAGAAATTGGTACAAGGGGCAAGTGGGAGTGAGAGGCTCGGATGAGGATGACAGATTAAGGGGCCTCACTAAAGACTGAGAATCCTACATGAGGTCCAAGATCTGGCACACTTCCCAAAGGCATAGGCTTGATTTAGTCTGCTGCAGATGGTGATGCAGGAGGAGCGCTATGTTCTAGCCATCAAAGGGCAGGGAGTGGACAGGTGCCAGACTTGCGCTGACCTAAGTGTGGAAAGAATGACTCTGCTACCTTGGTAGCAAACACTCAAGGGCTCAGACACAGAACTAAGCAAAGGTCTTAGGGGCTAGGGAAGTGGTCTAGATGAGATGGGAGTGGGGTTGGCAAGAGCTGGTGTAGTAGAGCTAGAGGGAGTGAGAAGCGTTTGGATTTCTATTTTGAAGGTGACCCATGGCTGCTGTTTCGGATGTAGTGTGTGAGCCGAGAGAGAAGTCAAGAATATTTATTTTTTTTTGGTCTAGAACTTGATTAAGAACAATTATGGTTGAGAGAAACTATTAGAAGAGAAGTGTTTTTGAAAAGACAGGAGAAGAGTGAAGTCCATTTTGGGCCATAATAACCTTGATCATGCATTTAAGCGAACACTCTGGGAAGACTGCTGGATGTACACATCTGAAGATACTATCTATGAGCTAAATAGCAGGGCTAGAGGTACGTGCAGGAATGTGTGTGTAGGGTAAGGAAAAATGTCAGGCTTTTCTGCCCTCCCGCCATCAGGACAGATGATGGATCCTTGCGGTCCTGAATGCACGCCTGATGGCGGGCACCTAGAGTAGGGTGTGGGCATAGGTAGATGGGATTCACGTGGGCTGAGACTGTTCTTTTAAGGGCGGCGTCATGGGGATGCCAGCAGAAGCCAAGAAGCCGAAGCAGAAGCTGAGAGAGAAGCAAGAGAAGCAGAAGCTGAGAGAAGGCCAGAGAGCCCAGATAGAATGAAGACTTGCTGGGGGCCTGGAGGCCTGCCAGCCTCCCGGCCCCCTGCACCCTTACCTGCTATGTACCGGGTAAATCCCAATAAAAAGACCTGCAAAAAGCCACTAAGGACTCTGACTCCTCCTTTACCCGGTCTGCTGGATCCTAGAAAACCTGCACTGTGTCCATTCCTGCCCCTACAGTGTGGCACTGACTGCATGGGATCAGGTGGAATCCCAATGGAATGAGTGTGGAGAGAGAAGGGGGTGTGGATTGAGGGCAGCTCTGGCTTTTGTGTTAAGCAAGGCCATCTTGGAGCTTTCCACTTCTCTCCACTTAGAGCCCACGTCCAACTCGCCCATACAGCTTTCTTCTCCCACAGTTCTTTCCCGGTCCCAGGTGTCGTGATCATGCCCCTTGACAGCTGCAGTAGCGTTTCACCTGTTACGGAGCCCGAGCAGACAAATCCAGATGGCAGAGGGTTCTTGTGGTGTCTGACCCCCGAGTAGCACCAGTTCCTCTTTTCCCCTCCCTCCTCTTTGGTCCTCTAGTCCCTTACACCCCTTCCAGCAATACCTGCTGTTTTAAATCCCCTTGTGCTGAAAAACACCTGTAGGGTAAGGAAAAAGTATCAGGCCTTTCTGCCCTCCCACCATTAGGATAGATGGGGGAACCCTGTGGTCCTGAATGCATGCCTGATGGCGGGCACCTGGAGTGGATACACCTGGGCTGAGAGACTGAGTTTATAAGGGCGGCGTCAAGGGGACAGCAGCAGAAGCCGAGACAGAAGTAGAACAAGGAGAAGCCGAGAAAGGAGAAGCCGAGAGCAGAGAAGCCAAGAACGAGCGGAAACTGAGAGAATGCCAGAGACCCCATATAAAGTGAGGATTTGCTGGGGGCTGGGAGGACTAAATAAATCTAAATAAATGACCTGCAAAAGCCACTGAGGACTCTGAGTCCTCCTTTACCCGGTCTGCTGGATCAGAAAACCTGCAGTGTGGTCTTCCTGCCCCTACACCCCCTCAAACTGAAGTGTGGACAAGCCCCCCCAAACTCCCAAAGAATAAAAATCAAACCTTTTTCCTGATGCCAAATCCTGCAACTTTTCTAATCACGCATCAACTCCTCATGGTCAGGTTGAAAGAGTTCATCTACATTTCCTTTTCCCATGTACTCTGTTAGCCTCAGGTGTCTTGGATTCCTCCTGTCAGCCCAGTGAAACGAGTCTCACTGTGTTAGGTATCTATGGCTAGGTATCTGTCCCACCCACATGTGGCAGTTTATGGCAGAAACAAACGTGGGGTGTCACGCATTGCTGAGGTTCAAGGATCTGGAAGCAGCTTGGTGACTGGTTCTGGCTCAGGGTTACTCAGGGGCTTGTGGTAAAGTGGCCAGTTGAGCAACAGTCATCCTGACGGTCACGGAGGCTGGAGAAGTTTCTGCTTCCCACAGGCAGCTGTCGGCTGCCCTCAGTTCTTGTCATCTGTTGTTGTGGGTCTTCACTGGGGCGTCTCACCACAAGAGTAGTTGCTTCTTGAGTGTAGGGTAAGTGAAAAGGTGTCAGGCTTTTCTGCCCTCCTGCCCATGGGATTGATCATGATCCCTGTGGTCCTGCCTGAAGGCATGCCTGATGGCGGACACCTGGAGTCGGGTGTGGGCATGCGTAAGTGGATACACCTGGGCTGAGGCTGGGCTTATAAGGGTGGCGTCATGGGTAAGCCAGCGAAAGAGCAGAGAGCAGAGAAGCGAAAGGAAACCAGAGAACGCCAGAGAGCCCAGATAGAGTGAAGACTTGCTGGGGGCTGGGAGGCCAGCTTGGCCTGCCTCCCGGCCCCCCAGCACCCCTGACTGCTGTGCACCGGGTAAATCCCAATAAAAAGACTTGCAAAAAGCCACCAAGGACTCTGACTCCTCCTTTACCCGGTCTGCTGGATCAGGAAACCTGCACTGTGTCATTCCTGCCCCTACAGAGTCACTGCAGGTGGGCTCAGCAGGGCCATCTTTCAGTCTGTCCACTGCACTCAGTAAAGCCACCACTGAGGATCCCTCATGGCCAAATTCGGCAAACACTCCTGTCCTCACCACGTGTTCGAATGGCATGTTTGGACGCTCCCAGGTTCCCATGTTGAAGTCCTGACCTCACACTGTGATGGTCGTAGGAGACAGGCCTTTGGGGTGATTCGGTCATAAGAGTGGGGCTCTCAGGATGGAATGAGTGCCTTCATAAGAAGAGAGGTGACAGACGGTCTCTCTCTCCTCGCCCCCACCCATGTGAGGACACAACCAGGGAGACATTCTCACTAGGAACTGAATTAGGCATGTTGACCTCGGACATCCTGCTCTAAAACTGTGGCTTAAGCCACTGAGACTGGCATTTTGATAACAGCAGGCCAAATAAGACCCCATAAGGGATTTTGTCCTGCGTAGGATTTCACTCACCTGACCTCACTTCCTTGACCCTCTCTTCTTTTTTCATGTGTGTGATTTCCCCTCGGGTTTCCTCTTACTTCTTAGTCTCCAGTCCATCTCATTTTTGGCTCCTAAATATTTGTATGATCCTCAGGAGGCATTCCCAGACCCCTGATTTGTAACCATACGTGGTGGCCCCAAGCTGAACTCACAATCCTTCTTTCACACCTTGTCCTCCTGTGTTCAGCATGTCAGTGACAGCTGTTCCCCACCACAGGGCCCATGCAAAATCAGGGTGATTGGCTGATTGGAGGTTGCAAGCCACAGAAATTCAGGGATATTTTGCTTATTATTTATTTATTTTTAAAGATTTATTTAAAGAGGTGTGTGGGGGGTGTAGGGGTGGTAAGAGGATTCACCAGAGACAGAGTAGAGAGCAAAACAGGCAGACTGACTGATATGCACTGCTGAGAGGAGCAGCGGGCGAGACAGGAGAGCTCTGCTGTGCCATGTGGGTCACCTCCCTGGCTGTGGTTTCGAACTTGTGCTGCAGACAGCTTCATCGTGCTGCATCTTAACCCCTTGCACTATCAGGGAGGCCTCTATTTTGCTTATTTAAATATAATGTTTACAATAAATGAAAAGTAGCAAAACCACAAATTGCATCTATTCTTGACACCTGGAGTTAGTATGACAAAGAGTGAGAGCTAATAAAATAAAACAAAGGTGAAAATATAAGGGCAGTTGTCCCCTGTACTCTGGGCACGTGCCTTCCAGGCTGCTGAGCATTGGCTGTGGCCTCACTTGTGAGTCCAACAAGATACCTGGCTTGTGCTTTTTTTTTTTGTTTTTTTTTTTTGTTACCTGCACAGATCTTGTAGTAACGGGGTATATCATAGATTTGTTTACCTGTTGGTACTTAAAAAAGTAGTTGCATAACTACTGGTTGCCTGTAAAATATGTACTTCTGCATAGTATAGGAAATGTGGGCTTCGCGTGGGTCCAGGCCTACCTCTGAATGAGGAAATGTCAGTTCCCCATGCATAAATGCTGGTTCCTTTTCCTATCTGTGGTGGTTGTGCACTGACCCTCCTCCTGCTGTTGCTGTTGTTAATTATGAACAGGACTCATAAACCGCCTGATAAATTTGTACTTATAAAGCCATTAAAAAGCAATTGGTGCTGTATGGCCTTGGAAAGGCCCCGCCCAAGTTCAGTAGACCAAGTATGTGTCGTGATTTCTGCTCTCTGGATTGGATCATTTATTGGAGTAGGATGGGCTGTTGCTGATAAAGCACCGGCTTTGATAAGAGCTATATATCACTTTCTCCACCAAGGACTTACTCGCGTTGGGGTGGAGTGAAGTCCTAGGAAACTGGGCCGTTGCTCACCTTTCTGGGAGTCTGAGCTCCTTCCTGAGCTGAGCCTCCCTGAGCTTCCTGACTGAGACATTGGGTTCTGCTTGGACAGCCTCAGCCACATATAACAGGGGGAGCAGGGGTGTGCACCTGAATCTGAACACCTGCTTCTTTACGAAAAGAAGTTGATGCTTTTGAAGCTCCCCAACAAAATGTATAATATTGTTAAGTCAGGGAAAAGTAACATGTAGGACTAGAAATAAACAAAGAAAGCATCTACAGAGTGATTGATGGCCTGCCTGATGCCTTCAGTCCCCTGATAATGCTTTGCATGTGTGAGCAGAGTTCTGCTCGCAGGCCGGACCACCAATTACCTTGTCTGCCAGCAACTTGCTGGTTGTATTTGTGATCATAATTTTCTACATATCAAGATCTCGAAGAACTTGGATTTTTTAGGGGCCTCTATTTCCTGACAAAAGTCTATGTACCGCTTCTCCCTTTTGTCTCATGAAACAGGGGTGCATTTTAAAAACAGATTTCTCTTAAAAGGTCTGCAAATATGTATCTTTTCTTTTTCATTCTACTAAGTTACAGTACGCGAATAAAAATGTGGTGTGAGCCAAACACACTCATATTTCAATAACATAGAGTTTCTTTGCAGGCACTGGGATTTAAGTATCTGACCGAATGGAATCAGCTCCATGATAATAAATTCCCCTCTCTAGACCTCTGAGTTTCTGAGAATATATTACTTGTGGCAGCAGAAGAAACTGGTCCCTCATACAGTCATTCAGGCTGGAGAGGTGGGGGAGTAAAACCTGGTCTTCTCAACGCAAGCCACAGATTTCAGTGACTACCAAGTGGTGCGTTTTTCTACTTTAACCTGAGAGTCTTTCTTCACGTCATGAAAAGTAGAGTTTGAAAGGATCAAAGCAACTTGGCCATCTGTTTTGATATCTGTTTTATTTTGGCAGGCTCTCCTTTGACTGAATGTATACAAAGTTGACTCCTGATTCAAGAAGAAAAAAGGTAAAAATCATAAGAAAGGGAAAGAAAGTAGATATTTGGGGAGGGATGTGAGAAAGGAAACATTATTGAAAGCTGATCTTAGACAGGCATTTTGAATTTCTTGTCCCATTAATGCCATAAAATCCTGAAGAGTAGGTATTGTGCCCATGCTATGGATGAAATGTAGGGGATGCTGAGGACTGACTGGCTAACTCCTAGATGCACATGGGTTCTGTTGCTCTGTACTACCTTGAGACGGAGCAAATGTGAGACGTTTGAAGGATAATGCCCCTTTCACTTCAGGGATTTGTTGAGAAATTGGTACAAGGGGCAAGTGGGAGTGAG